AAACGTCGACGACGACGACAACTTCACCACCCTCCCATTCACGTTAAAATTAAAACATTGAAATAAAATGAATTAATGAATGAATGAATGAATGAATGTGCGATGCATTTTTCACGAGACGCATTTTATTAATAATAATAATAATAATAAATTTCAGAGAAATAGAAATAATATGTCTTTGACGAAAGAACTCAATCGTCCTCACCCCGTCGACGACGTTCTCGTAAAAGAACGGGAAAAAATGAAAATATTAATGACGAAGAACGATGAAAGAAAATTAGAGAGACGATTATCGTTGACTCAAGTGTTCAACGAATCAGATTTTGAAAATTGGAAAAAAAATCAATCCGAAGAACTTGACGCATTGAAAAAATGGTATTCGAAACAACCGCATTTGCCGGAAAATGTAACGGATCAATTGTTATTAACTCTTTTGCACAGTTGTTCCAACAGCGTGGAACAAACAAAATTTAAAATTGATTCTTATTTTACAATAAGAACTCACGCACCCGAAATGTTTTCAAACAGATCGATTTCGTCGAAAGAAATGCAATTGGCTAGAAAAATAACGTAAGTTATGAATGACTTTCCTTCTTTCTTTTTTTTTTTTTTTATTACAAAAACATTTAAAAAGAAACCTATTTCGTGTGAGAGAGAGAGAGAGAGAAAAAAATTTAAACTTTTATTACTCTTGTTACTATTATTATTATTACTATTACCGGTCACCATTATTTATCTAATTACACGCGTATTGGTCAATTATTGCCGACGAAACAGTTCTTAAGGCGTTTTCTTTTTTTTTTTTTTTTTTTTTTATTTTAGTGACACAAAAAAAAAAATTACACAATTTAAGTAATTTTCGTACTGTGCGTGAGACCCCGTGTCGTCATAATAAACTCTCTCTCTCTCTCTATCTCTCTATCTCACTCTCTCTCACGACAAAATCTTAATGTTTTTGTATTTATTATAAAATTTTCCGTATAAATATATATATATTTGGATTCGATAATTATCAAAAAATAACGTAAATTATTTTTCGATTTTAAATTTAATTAAAAACTGTTTCGATTTTAACCTTTTTCAACTAATTAAATTTTATTAATTAATACTTTTTGAAATAAACAAAATTAATTATTTACTCCATGATATATATACTCGCATACATACGTATAAACTTTATCAGGCTCTTTACGCACAAAAAAAACGCACGCTCACGCACTCACACCCGCACATTTATTTTAGTTTTGAAGATACATAGAGAGAGAAAGAGACAGAAGTATGAACAACTATTATTATTATTATTTCGTTAAGGTTCGAGAGTAATAAATTAATCGCGATAAAATTTCTTTCCTTTTTTTCTTTTTTTTTTTTTTTTTTATCGAATGTGAATAATTAAATCGAATCGAAAGTAACGAACGGTTTTGAACTTACTACCTTTGTCAATAATAATAATAATAATAAAATTTAATTTTTAATTCCAGGAGAATATCACCATTGAGATATGCAACTCCAGAAGGTTACAATGCAATTTTTGTCGATTGCATAGAACCCGATGCAACAAATTATAATTTTTTAGAAGCCATGAAAGTTGCCAGTTTATCAATCGACGTTTTAGGTAATCGATCGATCGATCGATTTGTTTAAAAATTTTCAATCACCTTATTACACATTATTATTATTATTATTTTTGCGACATTTAAATCCGTCGCGGTTACGATTTACCCAATAATCGAATTAAATTTTGCGGTTTTTTTGTAATTCGTATCACGTTCGTAAAAAAAAAAAAAAATTACTGGAGCGATTTAGTTAATAAAAAAAAAACTTTCTTAACAACAAAAACAACAACAATAAATAATAATTTTTTAAGAACAATTACCTAAACGTTTATATATATATAAATTTGAATTACGTAAATTTTCTTTTTTTTTAGCTCGCGGAGTTATAATTTAAAAAACTTTTTTTTTTTTTTTTGATGTTGTTGTTTCCATTGTTTTCGTTATTTAAAAATAAATAAATAAACTTACGTTTTGTTGTATTTTCCAGTTCATTGTTTTCCACAAGAAAAAGGAAACGTACTCGTTTTGGATATGAAAAATTCCGTCGTCGCACACGTTTTAAAAACAAATTTGGGCGCACTTAAAAAATCCATGATTTACGTTCAAAAAGCTTTGCCGTTTGTTTTGAAACAAATACACGTCATCAATGCATCACCTTTAATACAACAAATTCAAATGTTAATAAAACCATTCGTCGATGATAATTTAAGCAAAACGGTAAATTTACCATTATTATTATTATTATTCTCATAACTCTATACTCGTATACGTAAAATATAATAAAACGATAAATAATAATAATAACAACAACATTTATTATTACAATGCGAAGTCGTAAAAAAAAAAAAAAAATTTTTAACTATTCGTAATTGTTTTCCCCTTTTTTATTATTATTATTATTGTTACGGAAACGATGAAATTTTCTACACATGGATAAAATTATAATAATAATAATAATATCAATTAATGAATAATTACCTAATGATAAAATGAAATGAAACGTAAAATTATTCAAACAAAAGTGTTAAATAAAATCATCAAGTTTCGACATTTTTCGACCGTGTATATTAAAATAATAATTTTTTAATTTCTTACAAACAAAAACGAAAAAACGATAAATTATTATTATCATTATTATTTACGAGTCGTCGTTAATTAATTAATTAATTAATTAATTTTTTTTTCCCCGATAGATTTTTATACACATGAAAGACGATATGGAAAAATTTTATAAATTCTTACCGAAAAAATCTCTGCCGAAAGATTATGGTGGCGAAGCTGAATCGTTACAAGAATTAAATGGTAAATGATCATCATCATCATATTGAGATAAAACCTGAAAATGATAATAATAATAATAATTAAACATTTTTTTTAGATAAATTATATCAATTGATGACAGCTTACGAACCTTATCTTAAAAATATTGAATCCCTCGTTGTTGACGAAAGTAAAAGAGATTCAAATTCACAAAATTCCGGTGATTGTTTCGGTCTCAATGGTTCGTTTAAAAAATTAGACATCGATTGAAATGACTAAAAAAAAAAACAAACAAACAAACAAACAACAACAATAATTATATAAACATATTTCTTTTAAATTATTTTAAATGTTACATAAATAATAATAATAATATTAATTGTAGTAGTAATTATTAATAATAATAACGATTACGTTAAATTAAATAAATAAATAAATAAATACATGATTGAATATTAAATAACAATTACTCATATATATATAAATATTACAATTGCGTATTAAATAAAAATGCGTAAATAAATTATTTTAAACTTTTTTTTTTCTATTTTTTTAAAACCCGTATTCGTGATAATAAATAAATAAAAATAAATTAATTAATAAAAATAAAAATAATAATAATAAAACAAAAAAAATTAAATAAAAATGGCTACCCTGATCGATATTTACTAAATAAATTTTAATTTTAAATTTATATAAAAAAGTTCAAAGCAGTGCGTTTAAAATATCATTAAATTATAGCAAAATCTCTATTTAAAAAATTTAATCACAGCAAAAAAAATTTTTATGTATTCTTAAGATTTTTTTTTAAAATTCAACTCGATAAATAAATAAATAAAAATTTTAATTAAAAATTTGTGCACGTGCATTTAAACAATAACACGTATGATTTTTTTTTTTTTTTTGTCCGTTAATAAATATATATATATATATATATATATATATAAATATATCGAATAATAAATTACATAAAATTTAATAAATAATATAATTTATAAAAATAACAATTTCATTTTTTTTTTTTTTTCGTAAAAATAAATAAATAAAAAAAAAAAATTTCTATATAAAAAATAATATATATCTAAAAATCTGTTTGTTTTGTTAAACGTAAAATTATTACGAGATGAATTTTTTTTTTTTTTTTTTTTTTTGCCCGCGCTTTTCTTTTTCTTTTCCTTTTCCTTTTTTTTTGTTGTTTTTACGTCGTACCGGAAATTAAAACCGATTTATATTAATAAAAGTTTAATTTTTTTTTCTTTTTTTTTTTTTTACGCTTCGACTAACGTTTTTTTTTTTTTTTTCCCTCTCTTTCTTTCTCCCTTTTTATCTCTTGTTGTGTTTGCGTGTGAATGCGTATGATTCGTGCGTGATATGCGTATCGTGTGTCTTTTTACCCTTGTGTTTGTGTGTTGTGCGATTCCGGTTTTGTCGTAAAATTAAAAAAAAAAAAAAATGATTAAAAATAAAAAATTCGTCCGGTTTCTGGGATTTTTTCCGATTCTGCTACGCCTTTTTGAAACCTGAGAGCCATAGAATCCCGTGGACGTTCTTGAATTCTTTTCATTTTACTTTTAACGGCTTCTACTTTAGATTCTGGAATTACGGTAAAAAGAAAAATAATAAAATTTTTTAAAAACGAGGAAAATCATCCCTTATACAAAACTCATTTTTAAATTTTTTTTTTTTTTTGACAATGGAGAAACTAAATCCCTGAAAATTATTTTCGTGACGTCACTGACTAATACTTTTTCGTTTAAGAGGGTTTTATATCTACTACCTGGTTTGTCATCTTTGTTTTTTTCCGTCAATTCTTCAATGAGTACTTCTACTTCATTCCCTTTACTATTTTGATCTTTCGTCATGTAAAACACAGAATATTGTTTGGGAGCAACTTGAACGTTATAAGATTGATACCGTCTTCTAGGACTTTCTTTTTTCAAAGGATCTATCGGAAAAGATTGATTGGGCTTATATGGCACGTTTTGTTCTTCGCTGTTTCTATAATATTTTGCATATTCTCTTGCTTCGAAACGTCTTCGTGCTTGGTCGTCGGGTGAATTTTTACCTGAAGGACAACAACAATATCTAATAAAAACCTAATATTTGGAATCGCGTTAGATAATTATTGAAATTTTTGTATATTTACCAGGTACAGCATCATTATGGGGAGGTTCATCTCTACGAGACGTGTAACTGCTCTGACTTCGTCTCCGTTCATTATCTGGATTGCATGGACGTTTGTCAGCTGATGCCAAATGTTGAAAACTGACAGATCTATCGCGAGGTGATGAATTTACACCGGATTGAACGTCGGAAAGTTGAATGCACTGCTCTTCCAATCGTCTGCGACATTGGCAACACAATTTTTTCCCGGAGTTTTCCTCTTCAGAACTTATTTGTCTCACTTGGTCCATTACTTTTTGACATTCACAACGACTGAAACTTTTTCCTTTTGGATAGGGGGCGGCAGTTTTAGCACTTTTCGCGCTTGGTGGTGCTTGTCTATTAACTGCTGTTTTAGGTCTTTTTCCACTGGATGTTTTATTTTTTTTCCTTGCATTTACCGAACTTGATGATCGAGTTCTTACAGGCGGAGCATTTATAAAAGCATTGTTAAAGCGTGAGGGCGTTTGTGGAGGAAATCCGCTTTCATTAAGTATTTTAATATTATCATAAATTTCCTTATAGTTTGTACTCTCCCAATCATTCATATAAGATGGACTTCTTGGTGTTGCCCTTAAACTTTGATAGGGCGGTGAACGTATATTATCCGGACCTCCTGTAATGCCAATTCGATTAGTGCTAGTACGTAGGATTCCCAATAATTTAACTAAGCCACCAAAATATTGTGTTCAAATAAACCTGCATAAAATTCTCTTCCCGGCGGCACGACATAAGTTTCCCTTCCTCTTTCGGGAACGTAAACTTCTCTTCTTTTTTCCGTCGTCATAGGATAAGTTTCTCTTCCTCTTTCGGGAGGAGGAACATAAATTTCTCTTCCTCTTACGGGCGGAGCATTATACGCTTTTCTTCTTCTTGCAGTCGTTACAGGATACGTTTCTCTTCCTCTTTCGGACGGCGCAGCATAAACTTCCCTTCCTCTTTCAGGTGGATAATTGTAAAAATCTCTTCTTTCCTCGGGATATCCTCCATGTGGCATTCGCATATATTCTGTAGTTTCCCAATCGTCAATTACGGGAAATTGATCGGAATCTGTTTATAAATAATCCTTTCAAATAAGTACTCATTCAAACTTCATCAATGTCAAACAAAAAAAAAAAAAATTGTAACCTGGAGAAGTTATTTTTTTCTTTGGCGACCTTCCTCTATTTGAATATTCTGGACTAGCGTATTTTCCTTGACTATAATTTCTAACAGGAGGTGGACTTTTCACAGGAGGCGATCTCATTTGAGGGGCTTCATGTTGGGGTAATTTTTCTCTCATCTTAAAAGTGCTTGTTTGATTAATCGGTTTTGGCATGGGATATTATATTCTTATAGGTTTTGTGCTTTGGCAACTTACCATTGGTTGTTCGTATCTCAAAGGTGGATTATTTTCATCAGCATCATAAATTCGATCATCTTTGTCAGTTTCGCTGGACGTTAATTCGTGAGCAGAATGAGCTTTCCGAAAGTTTGGATCGTACCTTTGATCCGGTTTATTAACAGGGGATCTAGCTGGAGAAGCATATCTAGAAGAATTGTTCTGTTTGGTATAAAGTTTAGTCGAAAAAAAAAAGTATTTTTAAATATTCAGAACACAGTGTAAAGTAAAAGTAAAACAATAACGCACCTCCAACATCTTTCACACGAATTTTCATGAGGCTGTTTTAATTTAGGTTCAAAATTTTCCTGAGGTTGTTTTAAATTGGGATCGAAATTTTCCTGAGAACTTTTTTCCGGTTCATCCGCTTTCCTTTTATTTCTTCCTCTACACTTTACTCTTTTTTTTGATCTTGAAATATGTTGATATTTTCCTGATCCTTTTCTGAGTTGTTTTTCTGCCATGTTCTGACCATCATCATAATATTCGTCTACATCTTGATCATCAACAATTTGTCGACTCAACATATTTTCAACAATTATTTTCAATTCTTCTACAAAATTTTTACACGTGTCAACGAACGAATTTAGATCAAACTTTCGTTCTCCCATTCTATCCTCTCCCATTCTTTCCTCTCCTTCACTTTCTTCTTCATCTTCGTGACAAGTACATGGCTTGCATTCGTTATTTGTTTGACTATTAACAGGTGATTTAAGTTTACTTATTTTCTGCAGTAGAGATACTATTTCATTGGATTTTTCAACACATTCCTTAAAAAAAAAAAAACATCCCATTAAATAAAAATTAATTTTAATTACATAATAATACAATAATATTGTAATACCTCATACATCCTTGGAACTGTATCATTTGAATTTGGCACAGGATTTCTTCGCTTTGAATTTTCCTGCGAGTTGTTCCACTCGGGACTTTTCATTTTCTTTAAAAATTGCGAATTAGGAGAATAATTAATAATTTGCTGCATTTTTTTCACTGGGCTTTCTTCTGATTTTAATATTTGATTTTGACAATGGCAAAAATTAATATTGTCTGCATTAGAAGAATAATCTGATTCTGAATTTATGAATCTACAAGCTTTTTGCCTTAAAGCTAAAAGAAAATATCAAAGCTGAGAAACTCAACTTACTTATCGAATAATTTCAGTATGAATATTTAAAAAATAATAAATTGATTTTCACCTAAAAAAGAATTCAATGTTTGATCATCTATTTTTCCATTATCATCATCACAATAATATTCGATTATATTCTTTTTCTGATTTTTGCAGGTACAACAGGTACATTTATCTGCTGTTGGAAATTCTCTGAAATTATATTTCTTTTTAAATGGATATTCATTTTCCAATTTGCAACGACAACAGTACTGGTTCGATAAAAGTCCATAGTTTTGCTTTTTCATTTTTTTTTAAACTCAAAACTAAAAAAAATTACATAGAAATTTAAAAAACTTTTTTTTCTCTTTTGTCAATTATGAATTAATTATTTTATAAATAAATAATTATACTTACAAATTTAAAAATTTAAATTAAAATAATCATTGTTGAAGTATTTCTTCATGTTCTTAATATCTTTGGATGCCTAAAATTAATTTAAAAAATAAAAATTTTTAAATAAACGAATGGTAAGTTTATAACGAAACAAGAGATATTAAATTATTTTATATAAGAAACAGGTTTTTTAGTGTAAATTCTTTCCGACTTTTTTTCTTTTTACCTGAACTTAATCAAAGCCAGAAAAAATTTTCTTATCGTTAAATAAAAAAGATTCGACTTAATAGTACATAATAAAATTGTATAAAATTGATAAATATCTTTTTTTATTTTCTTACCATTTGATTTAATATACTTTACTTAATATTAAATGTGTGATAAATGCAAAAATCAGTAAAAGATATTATTGTTGTTCACATGAATTGTTTGTCAACTTTGGATTTGTACACGATTGATTCCGCCATTTTTGTTTTGTTTTCAAATTATTGCTAGGAAACCTAAAACTGCCATTTTCTTTTTTTCATTTGAAACAGTTTTCTAACGGTTTTTTTTTATTCAAGCGATGTCTAATCAAAATTCAACTTTTTTTCAAAAAACACTTTTACAAATGAAACGATCGAATTTTGCAAAAACTTTTAATACATTTTTTATTTATTAAATTACAATAATAATAATAATTCAAATACTTTTACTTATGATAAAATAATAACCGCCAAAAATGCAAAGACGAACAAACAATAACGTTTTTGCGACTTGATAAAAACTTAACAACAGCACTACATGTTATTTTTTTTTAAATAATCTATTCACTATGTACAATTTATTCTACTTGTTTAAAAAAAATTTCAACCTGAAACATTTTAAAAAAAAAAAAAAAAAAAACCGTTTTCAAATTTATTATTACAATCACATTTCAATTTATATTAAAACGTAGTAATATTACATAAAAATAATGAGACATCTATTGATAAATTTAAGTACTTTTATAATTATTTAGTTTCTCATTTGACCGCAAGGATCGTTGAACAACAACAACAACAACAACATTGTTTTGAATTTAAAATACAACGTGCTTTCAATGTAAACAAAAACAACAACATAATAATAATAATTTTATTTATATTTTTTTTTATTGTAGGAAATAAAATAAAAAAACTAAATAAATTATTTCTGCGTGTTTAATAAATTATGTTTTTATTATTCAACCACCTTAACCACTTAAACCACTTAACATTAAAAACCACTTAACCATTAAAATTATTGAAAAAAAAAAAAAAATTAATTAATATAATTGAGAGGTTTAACCATGATTAAATTTTTATAAATTTTTGAACGAGGTTTTTTTAAATCAATCATAATATTAAATAATTGACATTTAAAATCATCATTATCATCATCATCATTTTTTTCGTTTTGTAATAATTTATTTAATATAAAATATAATTGATTTGCAGATGACATATTTGATGTTTTTTCCAATTCTTTTAAAACCGAACTTGAAAATTCCTATTTTTAATAAAAAAAAAAAAAAACATCCATTATTAATAATAATAATAATAATAATTGTTAATAAAAAATTTATTTAAACGAGATTACCTGAAAATCATTTAAATTTTTACGATTGATTTTATAAAAAAGTTTATTTATTATATTTGTAAATTTATAATCCGTTTCACGTACGCAAACATCTCCACCTTTTAATATCGATGTGAGAATATCGTTTAAATTTTTTTTCATAACTCTCCCTATAATAAAAATGAATAATATAAATAATAATAATAATAATTAATTTTTTTATTTTTTAAGGTAATTACCTGGCCTGTAATCGAATTCGACGTTTATAAGGATTTTATAACGTGGATTTTTTTCAATAAATTTATTACAAAATTTTGAATTTGAAAATTTATAAAATTTACTCAATTGTTCTTTATAATGATATAATATTTGTATGCATGCGGGTATATATGAATTTATTGTCGTTTCGTAAATTTTTTCTTGACAATTTTCAACGTTTTGAATCTAAAAATATACATATTATTATTATTACCCTTCGATATCGAGCTTAAAATAATAATAATAATAAACTTACCGTTACGAATGTTATACAAACGAAAAAAAAAATTTTTTTTAATGAAAACATTTTTTATAAAAACATTTTTTTTTTAATATGACGAACCGAATATTAAAGTAAACTAAATTAGTTTCTCGGGTTGTTGTCGTTGTTGTTGTAGTTGTTGTTGTACAACCCTTTAAATTAAAGGTATGGAACGAACGATAGAAAAAAAAAACTATTCAGGTATTTTTTTATTTATCGTCGTGTTCGTTAAAAGAATTTTTATGATTAAAAAAAAAAAAAAAAAAATTTTGTTCGTTTTTAAGTCGTTTGTTACCGTCGGTTTTAGATTTTTTGCTTTTCACACGTTATAAACAATAGCAAAATTTTATTTTGTATTTTTCACGTAGCAAATTTAAAAATAATAATAATAATAATTAAATGATAAGAGGAGAATTTTGAAAAAATTAATAATTAGTAAAAAAAAATTAATTATTAATTAAATAATAATTTTCTACTTTTTTTTTAAATGTCGTAAAAAGGTCAATAGCCTTTTTTATCATTATCACTCGGTAGATTTTTTAAGATTCTCCCTCTCTCTCTCTCTCTCTCTTTCTTTTTTCCTTTCTCTCTCTCTGTTTCTGTCTATCTTTTCTCTCTCACTCTCGCTCTCTCGCTCTCACCCTCGCCATCTTTATTACAATATGCCTGCGTTTACGTGCATGGGTGCGTGTGCATGCGTGTTATTATTTTCATTCTATTTTAAATATTTCAACAGAATCCTTTTTCGACCTTAAAACAACAACCTTTTTATAGTCGCTAAAAATAAACCGGAATTAAAAATAATTAATTTATTTGTTGTAATAACAAACAGGTAAATCCATTTTCTTTCTTTTTTTGCTTTGTAACAAACGAAAAGAAAATACAAACCAAAGGTTTATTCAGCGGTTTGTAAAGTTTCAAACATAAATTAAAAAAAAAAATAATAATAATAATAAAAAGAAAACGAGGAGTTTCGCGAAAAATTCGAAGGAAACGATTAAAAAAAATCACAAAAAAAAACCGAAAATGCATATTATTTTCAAATATTTTCGATTTGAGAATATACATAAAAAAAAGGTTTTAATAAATAAAATAAAATAAAATAAAAATGAAGAAAATTATTAATTTGCAATTATTTATTTATTTATTTAAAAACAAAAAAAAAAATAAAAGAAATTATGCAACATTGTAATAAATTTTTAAATAATAATTTAAAAAAAAAAAAAAATTATAAAACCATTGATTTATTATAAAATTAAAATTAATATTATAGTAATATTATTTTTCAAAGTCAAGTTTTTCTTTTTTCCTATTATCATTATTATTATTATTATCATTATTGTTACACAACTTATTAATTTTTTTTTTCTGTTTTTGTTTTTTTGTTTTTTTTTTTTTTTTAAATAATTTTTTTTAAACTTTTTTAGATTGTAAACCTGATCCAGAATCTTCTTTGTTACCTTAAAGGAAAAAAAATTTAAAAATTTCGATTTAATCATCATCATTATCACCATCAGTATTATTAGTATTATTATTATTATTATTGTGATGTGATAAAAACTTACCGTTATCATTTTTATCAAAATCATCGTTGAATGCAGCAAATGCGAGTTGCATGTTCGTCGCATCATCTAATGTCGGATTTAAAAATTTCGAATTGGGCGCCATTTTTGATTTTATTATTTTTGATTCTTTATTATTATTATTATTATTATTATTAATATTATTTAAATTTTCTTTGATGACTTTACACTCGAACATAGCCAAAACGCTCTACAAAAATAAATAAATAAATTTATCGTTTTAAAATTTACGACTGCATCATTCCTCCCTCCCCCAGCCAGCCCCCAGCAGCTCCCCAACCAACTCCTCACTTCCCTCGAAAAATAATAATAATAATAAATTTAATTTTCGAATAACTTACCAAAACAATAAAGAAAAAAAAAATTTTTTTCATCATTTTTTCTGTTTTTTTTTTTTTTTTTTTTTTTTTAAGGGCTCCTGAAAAATTAAAAAAAAAAATTTTTTCTTAAAGAAAAAAAATTAAAAAAAAAATTACTTACCGGTAATAAAAAATAAAAAAAATTATTTAAATAAAAAACTTACCCGTAATAAAAAATTAAATAAATTATAAATTAAATGAAACACTCGTACGAACTTTAAATTTCGATTGTTAAAATTATTCGACTTTCGACGTTTTTTAAACGTTTTTTTTTCCGTCTCAACCCCTTTTTTATTAAATGAAAAATCATCATCATTATCATTATTATTATTGTTACGAAACGTTTGATTTATGTGGGTACTTCATGTTCTAATTTATGACAATAATAATTACTCAATAATTTGTGAGTTTTGCGTCGTTTGTAAAAATCATTTAACGAACAAAAAGAAAAAAAAGATGGCGGTCAAAAACATTTTGCTATCAATTCAAAGAAATCCTTATGAAAAACTTGACAAGAAGAAAGTTACTATTTAATTATTATTATTATTATTAATATGGTTTGTGTATTAATGGCGGAGAAATTGTGTTTTTCCAAAATTTTTTTTCCAGGTCACTAACTTTCAAAAAAAGACAAACTTTTTGTCGGTGTCGGTGTTGGCGGTGATGGTGGCGGGGAAAGAGGGTGTTATTAATAACATATATTTATAAGAATGTGGGTCGTGGTTCGATCCGATTTCTTCCGCGTATAATGACACGATTTTATATTTTCTTCCACGACTATGAAACCACGACTTCCGACGTTTTCCGAATCTTCGTCGTGATTTATTTTCGTGAAAATTTTTTTTTACTTCGATGAATTTTCGTCATATTAAAAAAATTTCCTTAAAGACACTTCGTCGTATGTTATTCTTTATTTCTAAAGCCACGACAAATTTTCAAACGGGAGGAGATAAAAGAAATAAAAAAAAAAAAATTTTCCACCGGATAATAAATAAAATTTTCTAACTCATCACTCTTGCGTAATTTTTATTTCAATTATTATTATTATTATTATTATTACTACTCGCGGTTGTTGTTGTTGTTTGTTTGTTTGTTACACAATCGATTCGAATAATCAAATGTCCCTGATACTTTAAATATGTATAAAAAAATGCGGGAAAAATAAGAAAATTTTTTCAAATAAATCGTTGATTACACCACGTAAAAAAATTTCAAATTTCGAAAGTTTTCTTTTTCCCCCTCACCCCTTTCCTCCCTCTTCTCCCCGCAATTTTAATCGCTTTTAACGTGTTAGTAGATGAGGGTGATTTCACGTTTAAATATTTAACGTCGGAAAAAAAAATTATTTTTTTTTTTTATTAATTTTAATTAATTTATTCTTTGTTAAAATCATAACCGTGACGTCACTGCCGGAGGCTGTAAAAAGTTATGGAGAAAAAAAATAAAAAATTTTTTTTCCAACAATTCGTTCCAGTATTGTAACATATTAGCGCCACTAAAAAAATATTATTATTATTATTATCATTAGTATTAACCGATGCATTCTAATATTT